TTTAATACGTGAGCTTCAGTCATTAGGCATCAATCATGTGTTTTTACTATGAAATATGAATTTTCTACCTCGAAAACACGTCATTATCATCATCATCCTTGTACAGGAAAATACACTGAAGCGAAGTCCACTGATCGCTGCCAAACTCGCGACGCATACAAGGTTGCTGGTAATATTTTAGGTGGATAGGGATTGGACCTACTTTAAGGGAGGGGGAAGAAGGTTACCTCTAAGATCAACATACAAAGTGCAAAATCGAACTCTGTCCATACATACCGTTTCCAGAATTCTGGGTTGATAAGAACTGATAACAAGAACGCCACTGCTATCGGTTCTCTGCCATATCCTTCAATGTCTCCAACTAACCAGTTGCGAAATCTTTCGAACCATAATCGAGAAGACCGGAGACACCTATTTCACCTAATAGCTTTATACATTTTTTCGTGTCCATTTTCCATGGCATCTGTTGCTCTGCACGTGGTTTCCTCCACCTCGGAGTGGCTATAGCGAATAAAGTGCGGTAAACCAGGCAATGGCTAGGCATGCGCAATACGTGTCCTAATCAGAGAAGCCGACTAATCTAAATTCGATGAGTTCGCAGGTTTATCCCTGATAAACTCGATGAAGTATGGAATTGTTGTGTAGGGACTGTTGCTGAGACTGCTATCGCACCACCAACTTCTGAGCCGAAAAAGAGAACACAATCAAAATGGCACAGGACGGTGTATTAGAAAAAAAGTGTCTTCTTCTGCTTGTCGATTTAGCGTTGACATTCGTTCTTTTTATTGCGTTCGGTGCGTTACAAACGTTCGGCATAAGTTGACCAATCAGAGTCGTCGGACCGCCCGGCTGACTACGCTGTCTGACCAATCAGGAAAGTCGGGCCTTCCGGCTGAATACAGCGATCGATCATTTGCGGGCGGGAGACTCACCCGGCTGTGCCTTTTTCTTCTTGGCTATCATCGCCAAACAAATGAAGTTTTCGACCGGATTTTTTGGAATTGAACCTTCCTGACACCTACCCCTTTTGGATGATCAGTATAAGACTTCCGTCTCGGATCAACTTGAAATGGCGTAACCTGTTTCCTAATACGATTGGTCCGTCGTCTCGGCTGCATCGCAGCATCACTGTCTGTCGGCATGGGTGGAACGTCAGGTACAGATGGAGATGTCTTCAAATCAAACGTTTCCAGTAATAGGTCGAGGTTCAGTCAGCTCCCTCGATTTATAGGAACTGGACACTGTGTTCGGCGCAGTTGATTGATGTGCCGTCTCCACAACCAGGTACCTACTTGGACATTGTAAATCACTCGATCAATTCTTTTATGAATATGTCCGACGGTCCAGTTTGCGTGACCAGGGCGATAATCTCTGACGAGCACGCGATCTCCTGGTTGGAATACTGGTACACCTTTTGACTCACTGTCTGGTTTTGTTCTACTTGGTCGAATGGAATCNAAGAATTCTACGGGAGAACGGCTGTCAGGGCACTGTGGATTCGGTGTAGCCCGGTAATTCAACAAGAACGTGTCTAAAATTTCTTCCGTTGTCTGAACTATATATATGCACTGGGGTTTGATAGGCCGGTACTGTCAGACTGTCCAGCAACCAGGCAGAAGAAAGATTAGGGTTGTCAATGATAGTATTTAGTACTGACAAGAAACTAACCGCAAGGCAGCGGGCGAAACGAAGTGTAGGCCCATTTTTCTTGGACGAATTACTTTTCTACTATTTTTCACCAATTGAAAAGCAAATTCTAGTCGAACCCTCAACGTGGAAGACTAGGAGACTAAACGTCGTGCTACCTCTACCTTTCGACTATCCAGGCTTAGTTAGCTCTACAGGCTTGACAAACGCCATCCTGTGTGGCTCTTTGGGCCAGAGAGGTGCACAAGCCATCACACCACGTCAAGTTGCAGTCTCGTTGTGATGGTTAAAACACATGCCGGATTGATATGGTTTCGATCAAGCTGCTACTAGCGACCGTGATACAGATAGTGACCCGTGAAATAAGAAACATCATAACAAAAGGTTTGACAAGTTCAAATATGACCCAACATTTTGACAAATATTTCCCCAGTTGTCTAAACAGTCCCATAGAACACATTTCTAATAGAACAAGGAGTGACGAACAAGCTCGTTTTCAGTGATTCGTAGTCATTCCAGATACATCACAATAAATATTACGCAGTATATGTGTAAATTAGTATTCAACCATAAAAACGCAAACAAATGTTTTGGGAAAGGGAAAATAACCTCATGGGTTACCTGGAGCTAAGTTCATCTTGGGACCGGATATGGAATTCTCAATGATCACATAATTGTTAAGTCATCCGATCGTTGGGAGCCCCTTCTATGTGCCCAAAAATTTGTGCAGGCTCTTTAACTCCCCTGGCCCACCCCCTACACACCCCATATTCCGCGTGGTTTCAACGATTGGATACAACTACAATACAATACAAAAAAATACAAAAGACAAAAAAATACAAAATAATATGAAACGGGCATGTATCTCTCTGGATTAGGTATGAGATTTCCATGACCAACGGAAGGCTTGAGCGAAGGATGGATGTATTGGGGTTTCATTTTTTTCGCATAATTATTTTACATTTCCATCAAATCTAAGCCTGATTCACGAAGTACACCTACCCCTGAATTGAACAGACATGACCAGAAAAGATTGCTGGCATCCCCGATCGTCGTCAAAAGATGATGTGCCTCGAGCAGGCAATCAGTAGCTGTTACTGACAGTGGTCACATGTTAACGACCGATTGTAGACAGAGACATGAGAGTCTAGAGGTGGAACGGAAAAAGTCTATGGAATGAGTGTACAAGTTGGCGGAGGGGTGGGGATGGGTTCTCGTTTGATCGAATCGAAACAGTGAGTTGCCTTTCATCGAAGTAACTGCGATCGGTTGGAATAAATTGAATAAACTGAAAGAACAATCAAACTCTGCGCCAGAACAGAGACGGAACTTCACTTTTAAGAAGGGTATCGCCCCAGCACACCTATGTATAGGTGTACCGCCATACAGGTTTTACTGCTACACCGTGACCTTTGTAGTCGTGGGTGAAAGACAATACGTGCAGAGTAAGGACAGACTAACATAAAATTCTTTTTTCCTGACAGGTGAAGTGGGGCTTCCATCGATTGATAGCAATCGCTTCTGTAAACCACGAGAAATGTTGCTTCGGTCGGTCTGGAGTTGGGTCATCAGAAGATGTCTATTGTTCACCAGCAAATGAATCCCATCCTTTTATTGGTGTGGTCACAATTCGAACACTTTTTAAATATTGATCATTGAAGACAACATTAGAACAAAAATTCAACTAGGTGATTATGGTTTACCTAGTGTGAGAGTTCGCTTGCACAGTGGCAACGCCTAGGTGTTCAATACAAGTTCACCTGGTATTCAGTCCCCAGACGGACCTCCGATCATGTGCCACAGTTGGGTCCACACTAGAGCCCGGGTGTGGTTGACCGGATGAACTAAGAATTGTGTGTGAAGTTGAGATTTGATAAATGATCATTTTGGATCAACTTACCTCATAACGCTAGTCATAAGTAATTGAGTGATGAATGAATTGGTTAACACAAGTTTTTGACTGAAGTACAGGACAATACAAATCAAATATATATGAGTCCTATATTTTCGGGCTAATAAACTGAGCTACCCGGAAACTCCGATTGATTCTAGCACTTTAGAAACAACAATAAAATTTACATTTTCCATCACATTACTTTACTGTTTTATTTTTGTATTTCCTGGCAATCTGGCATGAGATCGAAAGGTTTGTCAGCAGTCAGAAATTTCGCCACATTGTAGACCCAACCAGGTCGAAACAGCTCTCCAGTGTTTTCCAGCTTTTCAATTCACGCTTTACTGGCTGTATACACGATGAATTTCATTGTAGGTCGTCGAATTGCCCATTCAAATCACAAATCTGCATGTATAAATGTAACAATTTGCTCACAGAATGCATGCGACTACATCAAAACTTTTCTGGCACCGAGATCTATCCATCCGACCCAGTCCGGATGCAACTTCATCTACGACTGTCCTGATCCCGTGTCTGGGTTGTATCTCTTCAAACTACTAAGAGAATAACAAATGACCCCAATCAGGTCTCATTTTTTAGTTTATAAGCATGACCATATTTGTTATACCACTCAAACGATTTCAGTCAATTTCTGGCATCTCTTTCTGTTCACAGACAGGTCAGATTGTACTTTTGTTGGAAAAAGATGTACATAGTTTCATAGAGGTCACATAAATTCTACATTCTGCTATACCAGACGAAATAAACTACAGCGCCAAGAATTTACTCATACTTCGACCCACATTTCTGGATGATCCGTGGTTATAACTTATTGAACATTTCTGGGTAGGATTGTGTCAGCTGTTCTCGGCATTATTGCCTTGCGTTCTCAGGTATCCGTAATTGAATAAAGTCAAGCGGTTTGAGCATCAATAAATGGCTTCAAATTTAACATGGTGGCAAACTTGATCGAGTCGATTTCGACAAAGTGTGATCACCAATTGTCTCCCTTTCGCAACTACTTTGTGGTGGACTGGAAGCAATCTTATGGTTAGTTAGAAATTGAGAGCTAGTCAAGATGTAACCTGTGCCTAGCCGAAATCACTGATGCTAATTGGAGCGGTCTGACAAAAAAAACAAAACAGGATTGTTGATCACAGCTGGCCTTGCGCATAACGTGTAGAATCCCAAATTAGAATCAAAGCGGCAGAACAAAAAATGATCACTGTACTCATAATACGGTTAAGCCCTCAATGAACCACAGTTACTGGGACTGGATTTAAACTCGGTGTACTAAAGTGCGATCTACATTCCGGTGACGCTCGAATACAGATAGCATCGGTATTACGTCATCTTCGCTGGCCATTTTAACTAAGTCATCCATCCAGATAGGGAGAGAATCAACAAAACATTTCATACGAACGAATTGCATTGAAAAAAAACAACTTAAAACGTTCAATTAAGATGATCGTCTTGCATCTAATTTATTGATTACGTAATCAATGAATGGTACAAGGAGCATCACCGTGGCAGAGTAACAAGCTGCCATTCCATACAGATACCTTCCAGGAAAGTATTCCAACAAACAGCCCCAAATTAGTCCACCGAAACACGGGATCAGTCCAAAAGTGATCGCGTTCGTGATTGCTTGCATGCTAGCCACCAAATTACCGTCCTGGCTAAGTGTCTTATCCCGACCGACCACGGCGGCCTGATACAAAATGGCATTGTTCGCAATCGGGAAGGCTAGTCCGGACCACGCCTGGACTAAAAGCAAACCCCATTGGTTGGAAATACATGCAATGGTAACAAAATAGACAGCCCAAACAAAATGAGCGGCACTCACACACAACGCCGGACCGAAACGGGATACCAAAAAACCGCTGACAAAAAACGTGGGCACTTCAGTCAACACGATCACCGAGATCAATGTTCCGATAAACGTGTGAGACAATCCGTACTGAGTGGTCAGAATAAGAGTGAAATATTCACCAATTAGGGATGTGGCGAATCCGGTTACTAGGCAACTGATCATACATTTGATCATTTCGGAGGATTGGAATGCCACGAGTAGAGCTTTGTGCAATTCCAGTTTCGATCGATCCGAATTTTGTTTGATGAAAAATGTCGATAGTGCAGCCAGTGTGGCACACCCGGCCGCAATCAATATGCACGGTGTGTAGCTGACCCCCACGGTGTGATCATCCGGGTTCGTGGAAGGAAAACGGACAAATCGCTCGCCAAAAGACGCCACAGAAAACGCACTGATGATCGGACCGATCGCAAGCGCTCCGAGCACGTAGCCCAGTGTGCCGACTAAACGTGTCTGACCAAAGAACCGCGATTTACGCGGTCCAAGAATGCTAAAGGTGATCGACTCCAGGAGGTTCATGATGGGTGCGTGAGCACCAAACAGGACCATACGAAGCGCTATGCTCAGAATGAGTGTGGTGTAAGATGCCGGTTCTGAAATGGTGTGAACAACGAGGGAGCTATGAGACTCATGGAATGAATCAGTACACATGACATAATAAACAAATTTTGCTGAAAACCAAATTTGAAATAGAAGGCAATAAAACAAATAATTATGTGATTATCAATCGATCTCGGTCCATACATTTCAAATAAGGTTAGGGATAAGGTGTTTCTTAGTGTATAGAGTAAAATTCATGAATTAAACAGAAAATTATTTTAAAATATTGAACGGATTAACTCTTCAAATGCGAGTGGTGCGATATCGCTACTTATTAGGAACTAATTTCTATTGACTAGAGAACATTCTAACCACCTGATTGAGTCCACCTTGTTTTTTTAAAACATAGCTTAAAGGAGTGAGTATTCCGCAGTGGAACTAATCAAGACTGGTGATCACTGAGTTGAGAAATTCTGACCTCAACTGCTTGAGATAAAACAAGCACATACTAGTTTTATTAACTCTTCTATATTTGAGAACCTGACTCCATGGCTGGTTTATACAGTTTGTCTTCAAGAACGGGGCCTTGCTCTGTTGGCCGAACATCTTTTAGGGTTCATGTTCACCTCCATCCCAACACATTCCTCCGATAGTTGTTTGGATCCCCGTCAAATTCGACAAGCGGGGTTTCGCAAACCACCAATCTATGAGCCCGATATAGAAGTAAACTGAAATGATTGATTTTGTCCAACCCACACAGTGAGTTGATAACACAAACCATGAATTGGGGCTCAAAATTCCAATCCCAGCTCGATGAAAATGCATTAGTGATTTTCTCCAAAACATCAGCAAAATTCCAGTCTCCATTGATTCCCGACTGTTTGGTTCCTTGGATATAGGATGTGTGCAAAACATTTCAAATCTGAAGGATAGTCAGTCTGAATCCACAATACTTGTTTCACATCGTGATTCATCCATCCTGTTACACTATTGATTCTATGCTTACTTCACAGGAACGTAAATATGTGCTGGCTCACAGTCACATAGAAATTACCAAATAATGGTGCTAGTCAACTGGTCGAAATAGGGTAATCAGATTGATTGCTCACTACATTTTTTCAGCACACTGTGCTGGTTTTCATCTGGAAATTTAATCTCCACATAGATTATTCACAGAGTAGACAGATTAAGGCTAAGATATTTCAAAGTTCAAACGACTTACTTATCCGTTCGTTTCGAATCGGTATACAATCCGTTCGGTTCCGTTCCTCGGACAAATAGAAACAGTAAAATTGGGTACTTGCATTCTGTTCTGGCTGACTGTGTCTTTGCCACGCTTGAATCGAGTACATTGCACTGTAATCGGTTTCGTTCACATCCACTAGTTTCAGATCAAATTCGGATTGTTCAAACGGGTAGATTGATCTGGATGATGTCGAACAACCGGTTGCCAGAACAGGCCAACAAATTCTCTCGCCAGTGAATTCAGTAGCGTTCAAACTTTGATTACTTTGGCTGAGAATTGATAAAACCGTGTGACCGGTGTTTATGATTGTCACAAACTTTGTGAAGAAAATTTGTATAGAATAGAATTTAAACGTACTTAACTAAAAAGGTTTCTAAATTCATCTTTGGCTTATCGGACAGGTTAAATTAGGCTTCACCGGATTCCATTCTCACTGGAACCGGTGCAGCTGATAGTTTGCATTTTGTTTTCGTTCAGCTATTGTGCAAGTAACGTGAATTCAAAATGTATGCCATATATGCAAGCCGTTAACGAAAATAAACGACGAGCAAACTACGGGGACCAGTTTCATCCATTTAAGCTGCGAGTTAATGAGTTGACGGTCTATATAACACCTGGTCATCACCGACAGAAGGGTTTAAGCGTGTGTGAATGTTCCCACGATCGGCAGCTCCGCGATCAGACGATTTTGATTAGGCATGATCATAGGCATCAATTCGCTAGGGCTCAAGGCTAAGTATTCATCAGGGAATAGTCATTCATATTTAACCTATTTCCGGTGAAATTTTCACCCCATTCTTAGCAGATAATAAACAGTTGTGACTTGTATGAACCATCCCGATCGGAATAGAATAACTGTATCTCTTTCGTTCCATCATTTCTACAAAGTTTGTTCGAACACCCGTGGTTTAAGGGGTCTATCAAAGAAAGTCTTTGTCTCCTCCCCTCGTTATTTGAAACATGGAGAACACAGCGTAACACATTGTTGAACACTTTTATTCCGGTAAACATTTTACTGTATTACTTCAGGTTCAATAATAGGATCTGTAGTTTTCTGCCGTGGTGTACCGGTTGAAATGTAGCCACCTAGCTTTTTTGTGCTCTCCCGCTCTGTCTTTAAGTTTATCTCGGGAAATAAATGCTACAATAATAAGGTGGGATAAAAAAATGAAAAATAACAATTTATGGTTACCGTTGATAAGTCATCGGTGTGAAACGTGCAACGGAGGACCGACAGAAGCCTCCGGGGATCGATCTGTTCGTTCGTCGAAAACAGACACACTCACACGCGGATAGGTCAATAGCTACATTTTGCCTGCCTGGTCAACCATTGGTGACAAACAGGGTCTAATGGGGATCTCTCATGATTGTGTGGTAAAAGTTTGTACACCCGGATTAGCTCGTAGATGAAATGATAAAACTAAACAAAACTCTTCAGGAAAATGGCTACCTGAACTCGTTCGTGAACAGCAAAACAGATCATTGAATGCCTGGAACCAGAGCGAGAGATATCCGTACTGAAATGTACGGTTGTTCTATAATTACCATTCAGGTGTACTGATGTAAGTAATTTGTTAGAATGTCAACTAAGCTCGTCCGACAGATAAATATTCAACAGTTCAATCAGTCTTTGTCCACGTTTGTGGCAAAACACGGACTTCTCCAGTCAAGCAACCGGTCACACAGTCCACCGAATTCCATCGGTTACATCAATTCCTTTGTGGGTTTTCTCACGCCTATCTAGACAGAGCCGAGCGAGAGTGGTGGAATATACTGTGGTGTGGATTCACACACTGGTACATGATTCTCCCTCCAACTATCAAGGTTAAAGATAACCCCAAACATAGCACACCAGCGTTCTCGTCATGTGTCAGAGACTGGATATCAAGTATCTTCATCATGCAAAACTCTCGGTTACTCCAGTATGCATAAGCAATCGCTATAAGACGATGCAAACATGAGCCGTGCATACAGAAGAAGTTGTTTCCAACAGTTACCTTGCCTTGGTAGAAAGATGGACAAAGTTAAGTCAAACAGTACATGAGACACTATGATGAATATTTTCCTGGAAATCAATTGTACCACATTGTGGTACTGTGTTCTACTTTCCGATAGAAAAAACAAACAAGTTGACTTCATCACAATCGAGCAAATTACTCACCTTTCAGGTTGATTGTGTTCCGTGTGTAGTTGAGCCACAAAGAATCCACTATCATCCATACGACCTTCCATCAGATAGTCGTGCTCCTTTGGCAAGCCGAGAAAGCATAAGATCATACTGACGCTGACTACACAAAGAACGATAATTACCTGTGGTGAAGAGAAGACGTTTGCATTAATAATAAGTACCTTAATAATATGAATATTATTGGTTACAATTTGGAAGAAAAACCAGGCTTATTGTTCTCCACAAAAATAAAACTGGGCGAAGAACGAAAACCTGTTGAAATTGCTATGAAGTACGCTGTAAAATAAGCGCACAATGTGTGTTGCTTCCTGTTATTAGATAAACCCTATTTTTTCAATCTCACGTACAAAATTGATAGTTAAAAAAATGAAGATGGAAAAAACGTTTTATTTATCTGCTGCTGCTATCCATCTTAATAATGAAAGTAATGACGACAGGAATCTCGAGCGCTTAGGTCAACTTTTGTTGAGGCTAAAATCTAGACGGATACCGAGAAAATCCGTAATCGTTACCGTCCTGCAATCTATAGTTCTAGAGTGGCACAGAAAACTTGATAAATGGTTGTGAATGTCGATCGCGTGTCAATTAAGCTACCATGTGTCTATCGAATGAGCAGTAATGAAGCTTGGCATAGATTCACTCCAGCCACATGTGATTAATTATGGATTGTGTACTTTGATGTGTTGTGAGGAATGACTCTCCCTTAGAGCTCGGTAAGCGATAACCCGAATGAACTTCTTTTGGTAAACAATCGCATGTACGGTCAGCCAGTGGCATCAAATTGTTATTTCTTCCAGTTTGATTCCAGTCGGAAAACAAAAGTTTTTCGAAAGGTATTTCCCAGTAAAGTCCTCTTCACTGTCGCCTTTCCGACCAAACTTCAGCCGAATTCTTGAGCTGAGATCCGTAGCCCTTTAGTCCGAACGCACAAGCCGATTCCGATGTGAGTCCGATCAAGATGTATCGGAATATTGTGCTGCCAAAGAATTTCGAAATGTTTACGTCGCAAAGCTTGGTTAACAAATGTGGTCCTCTCACACTATGCGATTGACCGTCACAATGCTATCAAATGCTGCAGTGCCAAGTGATTGAAAAAGGTGTGAACGTTGCATCCCCTATCCACGAATCGCTTGACACGTCTACTATGGCCGCACTGTGTTCGCTGAATCAGTTTTAGATGAGCTAAAAGCATATGATGATACCCTCGAGTTAAACAGAGATAAATGCAACCAGGCGCGTTCCCGGGTTGTGGATAGGGGGATACCCTCACCGGAGAAGGTTACCTGTGAATACGTTACGGTATACCGCAACCAATAAGCAGTCGCGAACACAGCGGTGGCACTGCCAGGGTGTGGTGGATTTCAGGCTAGTCACCTGACTCCTGTTTAAAGGCCGCATAAGACCAATGACCGTGTTGTGACAAAGGTCGATGTGACTGACCTTTTAAAACAAAAGTCATTGACCCCTCAATTCCGAGGCGAGGGATTAGTTCCTGCTACCTTGCAGTTCGTACTCGGTTGTGCAAAGGTTAGAGATGCGCCGTCAAAATAGAAAAAAACCGAGTGACGCTGGGGACATCTCTCGTACCAAATTCCAAAGGAACCTCATGATCACAATCATGTCTGGAGCCAGCTAATCCTTTCCAAGAAGCAAGCTGCAGTAAAGTAAACTAATATGATGATTCGTGTCTCTACTATCCCGGTATATTTCGATCTTGATGTCGAGAGGCCTGGCAACATCTTACTAGTAATCATCTCTGCATGCACATTCACCAACTCTCCATCGATCTGTAATGTAGGGGTGGGGGGGGGNGGGGGGGGGGAGGAACGATAGCGTCATTTCAGTTCTTCCAATTCAACCTCATACGCATTGTGTCGCCAGTAGTTATTGTAACCGACGAATTGAATACTGCATGAGAATAATACATTCGAAGGATATCCAAAATAAGCGCTACTCCTGTAGGTAAAACCTTAAATGTAACATAAACGGCATACCGGTTTTGCAGCTACAAGCCCCGAGAGAAATCGAAAGCAATACACTAAAAGCATAAAAGCTTGTCTTTCCTTAGCTCCAATTGAAGAGGACCACAATCCGAGGTTAATAGACATCATTCACAAAACTACAATACCACTATTGTTATTCGCTTATTCACGTTGCAGCATTTGACGCAAATACAACGGTCTACCGCACAGCATATGGTCACTACACCTTCCCGCCTGTTAACCAAGGTTTGTGTAAACCAATATTGGTAGAAAATAAAATGTTTCAACATTGGTTCACCTTAGAATATTCTGATACTTTATTTAAATTTTTTAATTCGCCTACAGTGGCATGACCAAAGTTTGTGTGTCGAGGCTAAAGAACTACGGGGGTCGTGGCTAAACAATTGCGAGTTTTGTTTAAAGCTCGATGAGAAAAGTTGTAGTTCCAGTTCGTGTCTCATTGCATCCGCCGAGGAGATGCGTAACATTTTCCGCTGCTTAGTTGGATCATTTGTTGTCTGAAGCCCGTGTACTTAGTTTTCAGTTTCTTTGTCCTCATTATATGGATTGTCATGATGATGACCGAGAAGTATAATCGGAATTCTTTCTGCGGGTATATCTGCAGCGAACTGTTTATTCCCGAAAACCAAGAACGATCGAGGAGCTTACACAGAGTATTGCGGCGCAGTGCGAAAGTATTTCAACTGCTACCATTCTGGAGGTTGAAGAAAACCATCTTCACCGGATTTTGCCATATAAGCAGCAGAATGGAAAACATATTGAACAACTTTTACTAAATAAATATGCATTTGTCCATAATATTCATTCATTCATTCATTCTTTCTTTCTTTCGGAATTCTATCTGCGACGTAGTTAGTGAGGTCGTTCAACGCGAAGGCAACCAGTTTGGAAAAAACTAGAAGTTTTGCGTGGGCCTAGATTAGGGTATATTGTTGTCCGTTATTAAAACAATTTCAAAGTTTTATTATGTTTATCTGTTTACCGAACCCGATTTGAAAAAAGTGCGTGTATCTTAGATGAGTCAAGCGTTGGCCCGGTGTTATCATCATTGAGCATTTTCCATTCCGAGTTTCCCACGTGGCGCACCGCTCCACGACTGATACTCTTGTGATGATTCTCTACCAACACTCAGAACGTATCCTCCTCCGTGCCGACCCGAAAATCACACGACCGATTGGGTTCATTTATCGATCAGTCGAATGGTCCAGCCGTAACAAGGGACCTGGCGTTTGCGTAGCCAACCCGAGAGAGAAATCACAGCTTGTTTACAGCCGCGAGTCTCAGGCAGGCCCAGTGAACTTTGGCTGTGCACCAGGAGGGCCATCAGCACACGGATGGACTGGACGTGACAAAAAAAAGTAATCAGAGTCTCGTTTTGCGGTTCCAAGTGCCGCAAATCGCGGAATATGATTCAATCAGATCACAGAAAGGATCAAAGAGACTTTACTTGTTCAAGGTCACGGGTGAGACGGGACGAGACGATGTGAAACAATGAGGCAATCACACTGGATTATTCGGGAAAATGATCGATCCGAATATGATGGTTTATAACGTTTAAATTAGGCACTATTTGTCATATGTTCTAAATTCCAACGTTGCCACATTTATAGTACACCAAAGCACATGGATTTGTTAAAAGATCAACAAACGTCTCCCAAGTAACCTTCCTGAGGGCACATGACAAAGATAATATATAGACCGATGTGATTAAGGGTTCAAAATCTAGTAACATTCTCTAATTGACCAAAATAAATATCGAACATGTTACAAAAGGATCCATTTGCAAGAACCGTGAAGATTAGGGATACACGAAAGCAGGCTACATATCACCCAGCCCTTTTGAAGGTATTAAACAAATATTGGTCCTTTAAAATACCTCGCCTAATTGGTTTATCACAAATCTAGGCTGTCACTTCGCTGTTCGGGTTCACTACCTGACTGCCTGTAAACTATTCAAACTTTAAGATCTCATATATCGACTAGTTGTCAAGCATACATACACCTAGGGACATGTTTTAATTTGCTGAAACAACCAAAATTGCATAGATTACTAGGAGACCAGTGTTCTGATTGAAGGTTACTTCTCTCGATACAAATCAAAGATTTATTATGGGAATAACTTACAAGAGGATGCTTTTCTCGTTCGAAAGGTTCGTGTTTTGGTTAAAAGACAGTGACACACAATTCCTTGTGTAAAATGTCACATGATAAGGGCTTCTTCCACTGTTGCACGCAGTTTCACTTATTTTGCAATGTAAGGTGTGCTAAAGCTTGATCAAATCTTAGTTTGAAAGATTCAATTCTTGGTGCACAGAAGACGTGGGGGGGGGAGAGTTCCAGATCGAACACACTGTGATTGCGAATGAGTGACACCGACATTCCAATAGGCATTGCAAGACCGCACTAGTTGGAACGGATGTCTTCTAAGATGAACGTTGGGTGATAATTTCAGAAGCCAGGTGACACGGATGGCTTGAGTTTTGCATTATTCGTTATACCATAATCATATTTGCTCCGATGCGCTGGTAGTGATTGTAATATAACCCCAACGACTCCAGTCTCTCCTCATAAACAACGATTCAACCCCCCAACCATTTCGGTAGCCATCGTTTGTGGACGAACGCTCCAGCATTTTTCACTCATTTTCTAGCCATGAATTCTATGCCTGGATGGCGTACTGCGTGAGTGGGCGAATGTATGTTAATAGCTGTCGGGGAAAATTGCTGACTCAAACTGACCAAAACCAGTTTAAGTAAACTGACATTATTTACAGCTGCGTTCGACCACCTGGAGCAGCTAAGTGAACGACTTAAGCTTCCTTAAATAATGATGTCCAAATCCTTCTAAATTGGGGCATGTGGCAGTTGTTTATTTCCGAGGAATAACGAAAAACGCCCCTTGTGTCTTAGAGATAGAACCTGAAAATTTGGCACATCAATTTCGGTATAGTTTGCAAGAGACCCGAGATGAGTTTCTTTCAGTGTTTCCTGGAGTGCCAGCTAGCCCGCTGTATTTCAACTTTTGGCATCATCTGCTAACATTATTGATTTTGGCCCCAGAGCCTTCAGTAGATTGTTTACGAATGTTAACAAAAGTCGCGGGTCAAGCACATGTCCTTG